GGCCTGCTACTCTGGGCGGGCCTGAGTTGCCTCTCCTCACCTAATCCCTTCGGCTGACTGCTCTTCTCTCTGGCTTCCTGGCTTCTAATCCCCTTTCTCCTGCTCTTCCCACTTGCTACTTTGGGCGTCCCTGAGTTGTCTCTCCTCACCTGTAACCCTGGGGCTGATATATATCTATATCTACATATATCTGAAAATTATCTTGTACTCCCCAATATCCATCTGGATGCTGCCACAGAAAGATAGTAGAAGCTACATGAGATATAAATAGCTATGTAGCATGGCTTTATGTGCTAACCAAAATGTTATGAAGATAGTAAATGAGATCATAGAGGTGCTTATTTTTCTATAATAGCAGCATATGACTACAAAAGTAAACTCCAAGCCAAGCTCACTGCCGTCGAGTCGGATCCCACACATAGTGATCCCTCTTTGGGTTTCTGAGATGGTATCACTATGGAAGTAGATTGCCCAGTCTTCCTTCCAAGGAGCGGTTAGTGGGTTTGAACAGCCAGTCTTCTGGTTAGCAGTCACATGCCTTAGGCACTAGGCTATCAGAGCAATAAAAGTAAATAGCAAAATGGTAAGTTTAATAGAGGTCAAGGAGCTCTGGTGGCGTAATGCCTAAGGCACTTGACTGCTCACCAGAAGGCTGGCGGTTCAAACCCACTGGCCACTCCTCGGAAGGAAGGTTGGGCAATCTACTTCCATAGTGATAACTGCCTCAGTAACCCAAGGAAGGGTCGCTATGAGTCGGATCCGACTCAATGGCTGTGAGTTTCAGTAATAGAGGTCAAGGTATTCAAGGCTCAACCAGACCAATCTGCACATTGTTCAGAGAAATGTCCCCCTTTTCTATCTTCCCAGAGGGCTCTTCCAAACTCTGAACAATCTAATGAAGTTTTCTCAACACAAATGTGTGAGAATGCATGCTGGCCAAAGTAATAGCAAGAGGGCAGCTGTACCTCAGCAGCCTTCATGGGGTGGAGTTCATCCCCATGAAAGTTAATCTGCAGCCCCATGTCTTTTCCACTTTGAAGAATCCTTCTGGTGGTATCGAGGTCAAAGACGCCCTTCTCACAGAATACATCTATATTGTCAATGTGGATCTCCCCACTTCTGTTAAGTTCCCTCAGCTTCGGGAGGTGGTTTTTGACAATGTCATCAGTAGCTTCATCAGCAGTTTTTCCTCTGAGGGAAGAAAATAAGATTACCACAGGCAAATATTTAAAAAAGAAGAAGGATTTGACAAAGAATCACCTGGCCCTTGGAGAACCTGAGAAACAGTTGAAGAAAATGACTGCAAGGCTCAGAAAGATGGAAAAAGAATTAAAGCTGTAAGTCAGGATTCTTAACGACTGAGACATGCCGACATTGCAGAGATATTGACAAGACTTCTGTATGCACTAATCCTATCTCCAGAGACCCAAGAGGTTATTGCATTCTGGCACGCCTGTGTGGACTTTGGGGATGTCATCAGGGCCGTCTGGCTAAGAAATAGAATCTTCCCATCATGGACACTTAGTAGGCATCCTGGCTGCTTCCCTGACAACCCAACTGTGGCCCCTTAGCTTGACCCCAGCTATCACCTTGCCCTTTTTGTATAGACAGTATAGATACTGTTTCCCAAAGCATCTGCCTAAGGCTCCCTGTCTCACTGGGGAAATGGGGGAAGAAAATAGTAGGATGTCCTGAAATTGCCTTAAAATCTTGAGGGAATTATTTATTAGAAAGGGCATAGGTTTTTAAAGTCACATAGATACAGCACTCCATCCATGGCTCGCTACATCACTCAGGACACATTATGTAGCCCTGCTGGCATGTTCTGAGCCTCAAAACTTATCAATGGGGATCAAGATGCAGAACTCAGAGGCTTATAAACAGATGGAGAAAATTTCCATAGAATTTCAACACAGAGAAAGTTCTTACTCAGCGAAATAACTAGATTTTGCTGGGAGGTGACTGAGACAGGTGCTTACATATATTATTTTTACTTCTCAAGACAATCACATAAACAGGGTGCTATTTAGCCCTGGCATCCTTGGGTGGTGTAAGCTGTTAATGCACGCTCCATTGTTAACAAAAGGTTGAGGTTCAAGTCCACCCAGAGGGGCCTTGGAAGAAAAGGTTGGTGATCCACTTTAGAAAAACCACTCATGAAAACCTGATGGGGCACAGCTCTCCTCTGACACGCACAGGGTCACCCTAAGTTGGAATCAATTTGACGGCCACTGTTTTACTACTAATAATATTTAGCTCTATTTTATAGATGAGTAACTTATGCTCAAAAAAGGTTAAGCTGTCCCTCAGAATCACCCAGCTGGAACTATGTAGCTAAGCTGAATTAAAACTCAGGTCAGGTATCACTCCAAAGCCTGAGACTTCTCCATCATTCCACACTGCATTCCCTCCTGAAAAAAGCAGACTATCATATACCGCATGTTCCATTTGAAGACAGGGTGTCCCAAATGTCTTAGTGCAGATTTAAACTTTAATAATTTCAGAAGTATAAATGCTCAAATCGTACAACAAACATCACTGGATACATTAGGTATGCATGTTTCTTTTCTATCTATCTGTGAATTTTTAACAATATATTTCAATGTTGACTTTTTAGTTCCTGTGATTGGAGAAATCAAATATTGAATGAAACAAACAAATGAAAACACTAAGAATTTATTTTTCAAGGTTCATCAAACTGAGTAAGTATAAAATAAATTTAAATGATTAGGCTTTCAAACAAGTTTTTGTAAGTCTATAGACTTCATAGGAGCTCTGGTGGCATAGTGCCTAATGCATCTGACTGCTAACCAGAAGGCTGGCAGTTCAAACCCACCAGCCACTTCTCAGAAGGAAGGTTGGGCAATCTACTTCCATAGCGATACTGCCTCGGAAACCCGAGGAGGGGTGCTATGAGTTGAATAGAATTGATGGCAGTGAATTTGGTTTTTTGGTTTATGGAATTTATATTTGAAGTAATTAAATTTAGAACTGCACTAATACCTTGGGATGCTAAGTGCATTATCAAGTCCTGGATTTTTTTTTGGGGGGGGTCCTTTCAGCTCTGGCATCTTGGACCTTCCTATCCAGTCATCCCAGGACCAAATGGAACTCTGGACAGATAAAATGCACGTGCAGAATGGGACAGAATTCTCCACAGCAAAGGCAAGCAGGAGAAACTTTTTAGGTAAAAACAAACAAAAACCGAATACCAGTTGCTGTTGAGTCGACTCTGACTTATGGCAACCCCATGTGTGTTAGAGTAGAACTGTACTCCAGAGGGTCTTCAATAGCTAATTTTTCAGAAGTAGATAGCCAGGTCTTTCTTCTGAGGCACCTCTGAGCATATCAACAGTTTGCACCACCCAAAGTCTCTTTTTTAGGTAAAGGTGAAAGCTTAAAAAAAAACATTTACAACAATAAAACAAAAAACCTTTATCATTAAACAAGCACACAAGATGATCTAAACCAAAAAAGCTTCTGAGTCACAGTTAGCTTTTATGCTAATTAATTGTTATGAGAAACTACTCAAGCTAATCAATTTTAGAGGACCTAAAGACTACGTTCTTTTTGTTAACCCAAGGTTTGAACATGACCTCTTCTGTAATGATGAATCATTGAGTCACTAGCAAGTTGATAGATCTGGTGGATCCCCTTCCTAAAACTGTGGGTAAGAGTGATGAGGACCATTAGAATACAAACACCTTTCCGAAGGCTTCTACTGGTCTCTCTGTAGGAGTTAAAGGGTGTTTGATTCACCTCAATCCCCTACAACCTCCACTTAGGCTCTGGAAAGACCGCTTCCTCATTCTCAACGTCCTGAATTAAACCCTGACCCCATCAGTTGAGATTACTTGGGCACTGAGTGAGCCCCGCAGTAAGTGGCCGAAATGCTGATATCCAGCTCCTGCTGGGCACGTGCAATCACACGCATCATCTTGAGCTCTGTCTGGAGGTTGAGGCCGTATCCACTCTTGCACTCCACCAGGGTGGTCCCAGCCCTCATCATGCACAGAAGACGCTGCCGGAAAGAGTCGAACAGCTCGTCTTCAGAGGCTTGGCGAGTGCATTCCACGGTGAAGTTGATCCCTCCTCCAGCCTGGTGAATATCCATGTAAGAAGCTCCTGCCAACTGAACACAGGCTCACCTTAGGCTCAGTAAATGCAGACAGGATGCAGTGGGTCCTGCAGAACTTATATCCAGGGGCAATATTCCAAATGTTGGCAATCAGTGTGGCACAGGCATGGGCTGATTAGAAAGGATGCTGGGGCACACAGTCCTCAGAACCCCTACTCTGCCAGTCACTGGACTGTGGGAACACTGATGAGGGGGTTCCCAAGGAAGGGCTGGGGTGGCAGAGGTAGAAGATGTAGTGGGACACTTGGCAATTTACCAACTGCTAAAGAAGTATTTCAATATTCAACAACCCAGTCAGTTTCAGTGCATACCAGCTGAATCTCACCCCTCTCTATGCGCCTCAGTGGTTTGAGAAAATAAAGCTTAGGCAACTCAAAGAACCACTGTGCAGTTATCCAAATCTCTTCTAAATAGACCCAAGCTCTGTTTCCACATCTCAATATTTGGCCAGAAGAGTTTAGGGCCTGACCTCTGTCACTCAAGTAGATAAAAAAGACTATTCCTGGGACCTCACTGGGTTCTAGTCACTGGGGCAGCAAGGAGGGTGGTGCTGACGAATTATGCTGGACTGGGGTCTCCTGACCAGAGCTTCCATCTGGATTCTGTCATCCACTAGCTGATGATCTTAGTCAACTCCCTTCCCTTCTCTAGACCTCACTTTTCACATCTATATAATGAGAGATCAGACTATAATCTCTAAGGTTTAATAAAATAGTCTTTTTGTCGAAAAAAGTGACACAGTATCTGAAAAGAAAAAAATTATTTTTCTAAAAGAATACAATTTTGCTGTTGAGATGCATTCAAAACAAAACAAAACAAAAAAGGTGAAAATGGCTCCCATCAGGGATTTAGGTGTTGACAATGGCTAATACAACTCCCTATTCATTGCTGTCAAGTTGATTCAACTCATAGCGACCCCTCTTTGGGTTTCCGAGGCAGTATCACTACGAAAGTAGATTGCCCAACCTTCCTTCTGAGGAGTGGCTGGTGGGTTTGAACTACCAGCCTTCTGCTTAGCAGTCAAATGCCTTAGATACTACTCCACCA